ATAATCCTTTGAAGACAATGATTAGATTTGCCGGCAGACGATCTGACCTGAATTGGGTCATTTATTGACGTTGCGTCCAGGCCCCCCCCCCACGACCACCTTCTCCCCACCCACCCCCACCCCGCCCCCAGCCCCTTTTCAACGGCCAGATATTGATTTCACGAGACTGAATCCTGTCCATTCATCCCAACCAGTAGCTGAAATAGGATCAGTTGCGGCGCTCCTCTTCTTGAGAACCCCTCCGGCAAGCTTATACTTACAGTGCTAATGTTACAGAGCTTATTATACAATACCAGGGCTTAACCGGGCAGGTTTTTTTTTTTTTACACCGGAGCCGGGTATTGTGAGAAGTAGGCATACACAGACGAACTTACACTCTACCTATCGGCATTTAGACAACAGGCCTGCCGACAGTCCTACGCCCTACCTGTCGGCCTTTACACAATAGGCCTACAGACAGTCCTACACCCTGCCTGTCGGCATTTAAGCAATAGTCCTCGAGACAGTCCTACACCATACCTGTGGCACTTTATCGATTAGTGTTACAGTCGCCTCCGAAAAAAATTCAACATTTTACCTGAGTTCAAACGTTACGCATGACGCTCCCTGCTTGACAGCTTTATTTTTCCCCCCACTCAGTACTATTCATATAAAACATGTTGAGTAGGGGGACGGACGATTGTGAAAAGGAAGCAGCCACACCAGAAGCATAATATATATAAATAGATAATGAGCTGGACTAGGATGGATAAAACTAGACACCAAGTCAATGCGTACCAAGTATATGTGTGGCAAATCAACGCGTACCAAGTCAATGTGTACAGTACCAAGCGAATGTGAAACCAAGTCATTACAGACCACGTAATGGTACAGTTTTAAAGTCCAAGAATGCTAGCACTAGCGCACTGCCCCTTGTCATGACGCGTATTAATTTAAGAAGAAAATAAAGAAAGCCAGGTTACAACATAGGGGCCGTTTGAATCCGACGGTGGCACATCTATTTTCACATGCCCTGCATTTCGGCTTGATGACGGCACATCTATTTTCACATGCCCTGCATTTCGGCATGATGACGGCACATCTATTTTCACATGTCCTACATTTCGGCATGATGACGGCACATCTATTTTCACATGCCCTACATTTCGGCATGATGACGGCACATCTATTTTCACATGTCCTACATTTCGGCATGATGACGGCACATCTATTTTCACATGCCCTACATTTCGGCATGATGACGGCACAT